GAGGGAAACAGAACAAAACAAAAGAATAGCCACATAGAAAAAGCAGCTGGTGAAATCAGCATACCTGAGATGCCAGAAACATCTTTTTTGGCTAGAAACAAAAAAAAGGAGAAAGAGACTATCTGTATCAGCCACAAGGTGGAAACCACTATGGCCCTCAATAGCCCGTTCTGGCAGAGGACACGGGCATTTTTTGCCACTGGGGTAAGCAGCAGCCATTCCTGACAGAAAACCCAGAGAAAAAGATGAAGATGTACCATCCCCTCTCACATCCATTTTCCACGAAAAATACAATGACTGTTGTGCCAAACCAGGATGGGAACTGCCGCCTCTCTTAAGCTGCATGTGCCTCTGACATATGAGCAGCAGCCATTGTAAGAGCTCCCACATAAAAATGCTCATACTAAAGTCATTCTGTTTCTTAAGAGTGTTTGGGATTTACATTCTCTTTGTGGACTAAATATCTTGCTGGATCTTCTTTTCTGCAGTAAGAAGTGGTTTGGGTCCTGCTGAAGGTCATTGTCTCAATTTGGGTGGTGTTTGCAGAAGAGATGTCTGCAAAGTAACAGAAGATGAAGTTGGTGCCTGCCGAAGAAGGATGAAGTGCTGTAGAGCATGGTGGATTGCAATGCCAATTCCAACACCAGTTATCATGTCAGATTATCAAGAACCTCTTAAGCCGAAGTTGAAATGAAACTGACATAAAAATGCATCAAAAGTGAAGTTTTTGAACATGAAAATATACATATTAAGTACTTCCATCTTGATAACCATCTTGTATTTTCACTTATCAGTGCAAATCAGTAAACATTAATTTCAAATATACCCAAATACTATTCCTTTATGAATCATTAACAGATCTTAACAAACCTTTAAAAGTGAGAAAACTGTTACTTGTGTTTTCCAAGGTAGTGGATTGAAGGCATTTTGTTGGCCTGCCTCTCCCACTTGGAAAGACAAAACGGTGTGTAGACATTCACACTGTGAACTTCTTTCAAGAAACAACACATGAACTTAAGAGGAAAACTGAAATCAGCCACAGACCCTTTGAAAGAAGCAGCAGGATGCAGCTTACACCATGAGCCAGCAGAACATTTTAAGTTCCTGGGGTGTTAGATGGGGGTAAACTGACTCTAAGATATACAGTTCCACTGGGGAACTTATCAAACCAGGCCGTGGAGGAAGGTCTGAACTCTACCCAGCGCTGGACCTGATTTAGTGAAGAGTGGGGAGTATGTGCAGAGTGGCATTGGGATGTGCTTTGAGTCTCTGTGGGTCTCTGGCAGGATGGAGGGAAGCCATTCCTGATTCTACTTCACAGAGGACCTCCCAGAAGTCTGCCAGCTAACTCAGATGGTGGTCACAGGTTGAGAAAACTTCCCAGCTGAAATTTTTGATATAATCTTGAGTGAGGACAAACTCCCCAGGCCAGAACCGAGGGGTGAGTGGGTAGTGTGCTGCAGCAGTGAGTATAGGAGCTGGGTGCCCCTGCTCTGCAGGTGGACCAGGAGGGGTGTGTCCTGAAGGCTGCAATTGCTATATCCATAGGAAAGCTTATGGTATCGTCAGGTTTGAGTTCTGAATGCAGACTTCCTGAAACTTGGCTAGCTACTCCCAATGGAACACTATGGGTGTGAGACCTGCCTTGCCAAGTGTGTGGGAGCTGCATGGAACTTATTGCCAACCTGCTACTCCCAGTTCTTTATATGGACTCTCCTTGTACAGAGGCAGAGGCAGAGGCAGCTTCACTCCTCTCTGGAAGATTACCCCAGTGGCCCAAGAACTGCCCTCCAATTCCCACTGGAGCCACAGCTTGTCCCACATGGAGAGAGCCAGAGCATGGCCTTACCTGATCCAGTTCCCACCTGGCTTTGCTCAACCACCCACCCTGGTAGATTAACACAAGTAACAGAAGAAACTTTTAGGAACTCTATGGCTCCGCCCATTCCCTGAGACACTGGAGCACCTCCCATGGGTCACATAAGGCAAGTCCAAATCTCACCACTACCACCGCAGCTGGCAGTCTTTCACAAGTGCCACCTCCTGGCTGAAGGCCAGCTGACACAGTCCATTACCACATCTGCAGTAGAATAACATAGCACCCAGGAAGGAGAAAATTTGTGAGTGGCCACAGCTGTTACCATTGCCTGCATCACTCTGGCTAACCCGGAGGCCCTGAGTCTGTCCATATGATGAGTTCATTACTACTACAACTGGCATTTGAGAAATTCAACACACTAGGGCTATGTGCAACCAAGGAACCTCTCAGAGTCTACATGACTCGCCTGCCACCCCGATCTGATCAGCTGCTGATACACACTGCTGGGAGACTAGAGGACAGATTACATCACTGGATCCGTTGCAGACATTCTCCAGCACTGGCCTCCTGGGTGGCAGCCCCACTGGGTGGCTAGTTCCAGAGGAACAGCAGCATTCACAGTCGTCTGGATTTCAGGGACTCCTACTCCGAGGAAA